AAGATTGAGCTACTAGTTCAAAAGTTACAGCTCTTTGAATTTTTTTTCGAAATTGGTTTCTCGTCTATAACTTTTGATTGAGAAGTCTTATCGAAAAATAGAATGTGGCCTGTAGAATCCATAATTCCAAACAGTTCCAAGATTGGGCTACTAGTTCAAAAGTTACAGCCCTTTGAATTTTTTTTCGAAATTGGTTTCTAGTCTATAACTTTTGATTGAGAAGTCTGATCGAAAAAGTACGAATTGTTTGGATTCTACGCACCCAAAGTTAATAAGAAAAAGTGTTTTCCCGAGAAATTTTGGTGTAGTCGATTTTTGGTAAAAAAGGAAGGTTATACACTGCCTTTTTTTGAGCCCCGAAAAAAAAATTGTCTCAGATCGACCCGGAAAAAAAATTTTCTTATAGAATGTGGCCTGTAGAATCCATAATTTCAAACAGTTCCAAGATTGGGCTACTAGTTCAAAAGTTACAGCCCTTTGAATTTTTTTTCGAAATTGGTTTCTAGTCTATAACTTTTGATTGAGAAGTCTGATCGAAAAAGTACGAATTGTTTTGGATTCTACGCACCAAAATTAATAAGAAAAAGTGTTTTCCCGAGAAATTTTGGTGCAGTCGATTTTTGGTAAAAAAGGAAGGTTATACACTGCCTTTTTTTGAGCCCCGAAAAATAAATTGTCTCAGATCGACCTGGAAAAAAAATTTTCTTATAGAATGTGGCCTGTAGAATCCATAATTTCAAACAGTTTCAAGATTGGGTTACTAGTTCAAAAGTTACAGCCCTTTGAATTTTTTTTCGAAATTGGTTTCTAGTCTAGAATTTTTGATTGAGAAGTCTGATCGATAAAGTACGAATTGCTTTGGATTATACGCACCAAAATTAATAAGAAAAAGTGTTTTTCCGAGAAATTTTGGTGTAGACGATTTTTGGTAAAAAAAGGAAGGTTATACACTGCCTTTTTTTGAGCCCCGAAAAAGAAATTGTCTCAGATCGTACCCGGAAAAAAAATTTTCTTATAGAATGTGGCCTGTAGAATCCATAATTTCAAACAGTTCCAAGATTGGGCTACTAGTTCAAAAGTTACAGCCCTTTGAATTTTTTTTCGAAATTGGTTTCTAGTCTATAACTTTTGATTGAGAAGTCTGATCGAAAAAGTACGAATTGTTTTGGATTCTACGCACCAAAATTAATAAGAAAAAGTGTTTTCCCGAGAAATTTTGGTGCAGTCGATTTTTGGTAAAAAAGGAAGGTTGTACACTGCCTTTTTTTGAGGCCCTCAAAAAAAATTGTCTCAGATCGACCCGGAAAAAAATTTTCTTATAGAATGTGGCCTGTAGAATCCATAATTTCAAACAGTTCCAAGATTGGGCTACTAGTTCAAAAGTTACAGCCCTTTGAATTTTTTTTCGAAATTGGTTTCTAGTCTATAACTTTTGATTGAGAAGTCTGATCGAAAAAGTACGAATTGATTTGGACTCTACGCACCCAAATTAATAAGAAAAAGTGTTTTCCCGAGAAATTTTGGTGTAGTCGATTTTTGGTAAAAAAGGAAGGTTATACACTGCCTTTTTTTGAGCCCCGAAGAAAAAATTGTCTCAGATCGACCTGGAAAAAAAATTTTCTTATAGAATGTGGCCTGTAGAATCCATAATTTCAAACAGTTCCAAGATTGGGCTACTAGTTCAAAAGATACAGCCCTTTGAATTTTTTTTCGAAATTGGTTTCTAGTCTATAACTTTTGATTGAGAAGTCTGATCGAAAAAGTACGAATTGTTTTGGGTTCTACGCACCAAAATTAATAAGAAAAAGTGTTTTCCCGAGAAATTTTGGTGCAGTCGATTTTTGGTAAAAAAGGAAGGTTAACACTGCCTTTTTTTGAGCCCCGAAAAAAAAATTGTCTCAGATCGACCCGGAAAAAAATTTTCTTATAGAATGTGGCCTGTAGAATCCATAATTTCACACAGTTCCAAGATTGGGCTACTAGTTCAAAAGTTACAGCCCTTTGAATTTTTTTTCGAAATTGGTTTCTAGTCTAGAATTTTTGATTGAGAAGTCTGATCGAAAAAGTACGAATTGCTTTGGATTCTACGCACCAAAATTAATAAGAAAAAGTGTTTTTCCGAGAAATTTTGGTGTAGACGATTTTTGGTAAAAAAAGGAAGGTTATACACTGCCTTTTTTTGAGCCCCGAAAAAGAAATTGTCTCAGATCGTACCCGGAAAAAAAATTTTCTTATAGAATGTGGCCTGTAGAATCCATAATTTCAAACAGTTCCAAGATTGGGCTACTAGTTCAAAAGTTACAGCCCTTTGAATTTTCTTTCGAAATTGGTTTCTAGTCTATAACTTTTGATTGAGAAGTCTGATCGAAAAAGTACGAATTGATTTGGATTCTACGCACCCAAATTAATAAGAAAAAGTGTTTTCCCGAGAAATTTTGGTGTAGTCGATTTTTGGTAAAAAAGGAAGGTTATACACTGCCTTTTTTTGAGCCCCGAAAAAAAATTGTCTCAGATCGACCCGGAAAAAAATTTTCTTATAGAATGTGGCCTGTAGAATCCATAATTTCAAACAGTTCCAAGATTGGGCTACTAGTTCAAAAGTTACAGCCCTTTGAATTTTCTTTCGAAATTGGTTTCTAGTCCATAACTTTTGATTGAGAAGTCTGATCGAAAAAGTACGAATTGTTTTGGATTCTACGCACCAAAATTAATAAGAAAAAGTGTTTTCCCGAGAAATTTTGGTGCAGTCGATTTTTGGTAAAAAAGGAAGGTTATACACTGCCTTTTTTTGAGCCCCGAAATAAAAATTGTCTCAGATCGACCCGGAAAAAAATTTTCTTATAGAATGTGGCCTGTAGAATCCATAATTTCAAACAGTTCCAAGATTGGGCTACTAGTTCAAAAGTTACAGCCCTTTGAATTTTTTTCGAAATTGGTTTCTAGTCTATAACTTTTGATTGAGAAGTCTGATCGAAAAAGTACGAATTGTTTTGGATTCTACGCACCAAATTTAATAAGAAAAAGTGTTTTCCCGAGAAATTTTGGTGCAGTCGATTTTTGGTAAAAAAGGAAGGTTAAACACTGCCTTCTTTTGAGCCCCGAAAAAAAAATTGTCTCAGATCGACCCGGAAAAATAATGTTCTTATAAAATGTGGCCTGTAGAATCCATAATTTCAAACAGTTCCAAGATTGGGCTACTAGTTCAAAAGTTACAGCTAGGGAATGCAATCCCACAGCAAAATCTCAATCCCGGTATTTGCAGGATTGTTAGATGTTAATCCCGCGGGATCCCGGTATTTGCGGTATCCCGCAAAACTTTAAATAAATTTGCAAATAAGCAATTCTGTGCGGTTAACTTCTGTATTAAAATAAATCGCAAATTATCACAATATTTAACAAAAAAGTACTTTCAGCCTAACTTAGAACTCAAAGAAAAGGTGAACTTCTAAAGTGCCTCAAAAATCATAGTACATTTTTAACGAAAAAAGTTTAACAATTATTTAAAAATTAACATCTCAGTTATGCGTTTCATTAACAAAGTACACAGAGTCGTCCCCTTGATCGCCAAATTCCTCAGTTCCGCAAATCCATTTATGTGCGGGATTAATCCCGCAAAAATGCTGCGGGATCCCGGTATTTCGGGATCCCGCGATCCCGTTATTGCATTCCCTAGTTCCACCATCTTGTTTGTTTTCTGTTTTTATTTATCAATATTGTTCCACACGCTTCGACCGCTGTTGATGGTACTATTTCTTTAAATATTTGCCACATTTGTTTTTCCATTCTTTTGCATGCTATCTCTTACTTTTAGTGCGCAATCGTCAATTGCAGTTTTTGTAACTTGCAGTGCATCAGATATTTAGATCGATTATGTTTAAATAATTTAGATCCAACCCTGAAAATGCTCTGTATATCTGAATTTACTCCTCATTTTAAATTTCTGTAGTTTTCTTGAAAATTCACACATTTATATATGTATTTTTTGCAGGGGTTGTAACTTTTGTAGTAGGTACACAAAATATTTTTAGTTTTTTGATAGATTATTATTGTTAAATGATCTATAACAAACCCTGCAATTGTCCTGATGTACAGATAAATTTCTGCTCGTATTTAATTTACAAGAATTCACATGTAGTTTGTAAATTAGGTCAAGTGGTGTCGTGGTGAATCCCAAGTATCATCAATTGTTGGCATCAATTAGGTGAAAACATCAATTAGTCTTTTTGGTACAGTGTTTTTTGTATTTTACAAGGGGCTTACGTGATACAGCCGCTAATCTGTTCAGTCGTAGTACAAAGGCTAGCCATTTAAAAAGATCAGTTAGACATTGTCTGATTGGATTAACTAAAAAAATTATTGCTAAGTCAATCATTAAAACTGTTCAAAAGCACTTAGGTATTAACTAGTAGGTAAATAGTGAACGTTAAGTATTTTTGAAGCCATCTAAGCTATGTATACAAAATAGTATGTGTATGAACTATGAAGGTTGGCACTTTCATTCCAAAGGTGAAAATTCATCAAAGCCGGCCCATGTGGCGCAGTTCAGTTAAAGCTGAAATGTGGTGCTAAGGGTCCCTGGTTCGAATCCGGGTTCGGGCATGGATATTTGTAAATGTATAGTGAGTTGGGTTGATAGAGCAGCCTTGGCTGAAACCACCCACTCAAAAATAAATTAAAAAAAATTACACTTATCTTACCTTTAATCTCACGAAGCAAGATGAACTGATTACTGTTTGTCATCTGTAACAAACGTAAGTAAACAGGGTGCTATCGAAATAACTTGTTCAATTTTAAAATTTGGCTCAGACAATGCACAAAAGCCGAGGCGAGCTAAGTAAGTAATTAACATTAACAAACAATTCTTACAATATGGAAAGTAGTACGCAAAACATGTAGTTCTCCCTTGTTAAATAAATAGACAATTTTAATTCTTCTAAACGTTTTTTTTTTATAGATTCAATATCACATATTGTATGGTTTTGGAAATTACATTACGGGGTATTTACATAATATAGATCTAACATAACTCTAAAATTAAATATAAAAAAAGACGTCCTAAAATTCGAATATCTACACTTTGAATATTTTTACCAAATTAGTTTAGAACTTTCGCTTTACAATTTACAACGTTGTGTGTAAAAATTACTAGTAAATTTACAATTTTTCTTTAAAAGTTCGGGTGATTCCTTTTTAAAACAATATACATTCAGACGCGAAAACTAACCTTAATTATCTAATTCAGTAATAAAATCCTCACTCCTCGGTCGTCATTCACTAATTTTAATATCACGAGTCAATCAAAGTTGATATAAATTATTCTGAAGTTTGTCTTTTTGTAATAAGGCGTTAGGGTTGTTATTAATCATCTACACAACAGTACCGACAGCACTTTCTACAGACGCACACACATATACAACATATCAGTACAACTAGTGCCACTACCCCGAGCGAGACGTACAGCCAGTTTATTTCCGGAGCCGCCTCGTGCACGCAGAGCTCTTCGGATTCGTCACTAAACGTTGTATCTGTAACGAAAGGAATTTAGAGTCGGGAAAAGTGTCTTTGAAAAGGTTACCTTTCGAATTGGTGACGTTGGGGCAGTTGATGACACCGTTGCAGACCAGCCTGGCCGGTATGCACAGCCCAGCCTCGCCCGGACAGGCGAACTCGCACACCTCATTGGAGTCCTCGAGGACTCCATCCTCGGTCAGTCTTGATGTCATTAGGCTGCCGTCTTTATTTCTGGGAAGATGAAACAGCTCGGTCCAGGCGATCTTGAACGCCGCGCGCGTCGGCGATGTACGTCCGACAAACTGTATCGTGATGGAGGGCTCCGCATCGTGCGGACTCAGTTGTGCAGCGGATAGTATTGGAAGCTCCTTAGCGAGCGAAACGTTTTCGCCGCACACGGAAAGGTGGGGCTCAGCCTTATCCCTCAGATAGATATCAATGATGCCGTCGTCGCACGACTTCGACGCGAATTTTATACGATCGAAATGCATCCATAGATCTCGTTCCCTGTTGATCTTGACCTCCCAGATGCAGCGAATTGATTTCGGCGGTTCAACGTAGCCTATCGCCTCGTAGTAGGGGTAGTGTATTTCGCCGTCGGTTGTTGGCTGAATAATGGGCGGACCGCAGAGTGGCCCGTGGACGAACTCATACGTTGCCTCGAACAGGGCGGCGTTGTGCTTGAAGTAGCTTAAGGCCGCGTGGGCGCTGTCGATGATCAGTTGCAAGTTCAGCTGCTCGCCTCTCGAAATAACTTGCGTCGACCCGGTGTGTCGGTTACACAAACAGGTGAGGTCGCCGGTTTGGGCTGCTTTTGTAAGAGTTATTGGTGGGTACGACGAATTTGAACCCGCGAGAAGGGGCTCCCAAATAACTATTTTATCGATGCGGTCTTCAATGCAATTCAGGCACGGTCCTGGGTTGTACGGGTGCTCCTGAAACGAGTTGCTGAATTGCTATTACCTTCCAAAGCAAGACTCACCTTGAAATGTATATTGCTGACAGTAAGTATAACTCGGGCGTACAGCCTTTTATCTGTCACGAATCGGTAGAGGCACTGCACGTCTTCGCTATTCGGCGTTTGCTTGTAGACCAAAGTGTTCAGGGGCGATCGCAACCAACCCTTCGTGGTCTTCCACGAAGCGAATACCTCATCGCAAGGCTTTCCCGGCACCGGCTCGCCCAACTTTGTGTTGTTGAAAAAGTCGTAGTGCGCCCAGTAGTACAAGGAAGATCTGCAATCGATCCAGCTTAGTCGACCATGAGTGGTCGCCGACACTTACCCGCTGTAACTGCCGGTTTTACTTTCGAATCTGACGAACAGAGCGTTTCCGGTCGAGACGAAGTCGTGCTTCTCCATCGGCTTTGAAAAGGTATCACAGAAAGTCTTGATAATCTTCGAATCGTCTGGCCACGGCGCATCGTAAAGCGTAAGCGATTCGCCGCAGTCGCCATCGATCGGTTGTATAGGCGACTCGATGCGGTTGATTCGGAAACTAAGAAAGAGTTAGCACAGCATTCTGTGAGCCAACGAGGCTTACCTTGGGAAATACAGTCTCACAATTTCGCCTTCGTCGCCCTGCATCAGATACGTACAACTGGTATGCGGGGGATACCAGTGAGCGACGGATAGGAAAATTCCTTCCGAATCGCCCGACGCTCTCAGGCTTTCCGACGACAGTAGCCAATCGCACGTACCATTTCGACTGCCGGCGGTATCGACGTGTCCGGGCCAGTTGCCGACGTTAAAGTGGAACCCGGTGTTTAACAGTGGACCGGCTGGCGACGAGACGAACTCGACAAATAGGTCTTGGGAGGTACCTATTATGGAGTAGGGAAATTTCCCCATCCCGCAAAAAGTACCGATTACTGAACTAAACTCGTTCTTGCCATCGTAGACTTTGATGTAGTCGTAGGGGCAATTCTCCTGACCTGTGAATTAGCCTTAGTTAACTTAAGTCAGATTGCCAACTATGGGAGGAGGTTGGGTGAGGAATAAGGATAACAAGAACAAGAAATGCAGCAGCCCTGTTTTGTACACCGATTAATAAAATCAAAATACCTAGGCAGCAATATGTCATTTTTGAACAACACCCCCAACGGAAAGAGATGCGTAGTATACATATAATAAGCTTAATTTGTTCATCATAAAATGTCGGCTCGAGGAGGTACCTACTACAAACCTAATACCTTTAAAACAATGTAGTTCTATTTGCAAGTCCTTGTATAGGGGCTGTTCATTCGACCCTCTCTGCACTCCGGTTCTATTTTGTTTTTCCAGTTTTTTTTAGATTTTAAAGTGGACAGCCTAGCTTATTTTTATTAAAGAATAGGGGGGATTAATCTTGAAAGAGAAATTCAAAGGCATTCTTTTCTTGGCCCTATGGAATATTCCCTGTGTGGTTCACATTGAAGTTTGAATTTTAGTTAGTGGGGGCGTTGTCAATTTGCTAATTCTCCAAAACCAAATGGTGATAGCGGATATTTTTTCTTAAGGCGGAAATTTACCAACGTCAACTCCAATTTTAGTATTTGTTTTTAACGTGCACAACAAAAAGGAGGCTATCGTGCAGTTAGAAAGAAGAAAATTGATCATTATGTAATCGTGTTTCTGTCGCGTAAAGGAGAGCCGTAATCGCGGTTAAGGACGAATCAATTTAGCTCGCCAGTATATGTTCGTTGCCGTAAAGAGCTATTGTAAAAAAATCAGAGTAGTTGTTTGCTTCGCATGATAGGAAATAGGGGGTTGAACTCTGTCTTCGTGATCATAAAATTATTATAGTTGTCGGAGTAGAAAAAACAGTAAGAAAGAAATGTAAAATTGTTACATAGTGAAGTTTTCTTCTTTTTGGGACGATCTAAATTACGTTTAGATTTTTCTTAAAATTGGTTAACACCAAACCGTTGTGTTAATAAAACTGTTGCTTGCCCGTAACTCTATAACACTCTACTCCTTCCTTTTTCATCACTTCACTACACCTTCTTTCTTCTTTTGCCTCGGGACGGGCTAGTCTGAGAGTCTTCGTAAGGACCCGGCTGTGGATCTGTGGATGGACCTTGTTGTCGTGGTCTGTGGATGGAGCTGGTTCGCGGTATGTGGATGGTAGGAGGACGGTAGTGGGTGGAAAACGGTTCCTTTCGTTGAGACTTCCAAGAAAGATAACGCCCCGTCACCTTTGATCTCGAAAACACGCACGTTTTACTTTCAAAAACACCATCTCAGGGGAAGGAGAAGTCCGAGGAGAAGTCATTTAATGATCAAATTAATCGTTACTTTGTTGTGCATTTTATTAAGAATTAAAAAAAGGGAAATTGGGACACGTCTGGAAGAAATATCTATTGGTGATGTCAAAACTTTAAGAGCGAATATCTCGAAAACGGTCTGTCGGAGGAAAGTATCCTCCAAGGCAAAATGAATCAACTGGGCGAGACATACCTATTGGTGAAGTCGAAGCAAATACCTTGACACGAAGTGTCGAAAGAGGGTACTCATACAAGGCAAGTGTAACGTCAGGAGGGCACATATCTATTGGTGATGTCAAAGCTTTCAGTGCAAATATCTGCAGAATGGAGTGTCGGAGGATTTCGATTTCCTCCCCTCCCCATTAATCATCCACCAAGAAAGTAACCCAACCATTTACTAACCTATTTCACTTTAAAAAAATGCACTTTAGCTGAACAAGAGTTGTGTACAATTTATACGTTTTTTATTCATGTGTGACATTTTCAACTGATTCTATGCGAAATTAAATACTCATTCAGGGCCCTCTTAGCCATATTCTACGCCGGGGTACGAAAGGTCATCCTGAGCCCCCCTGTATATAAAAAAACATAAATAAACTGATTGAATATGTTGTTGAGATATAAAAATTATTCACATCCGAGCACGATAAGAGGTCGAGGTTGAAATCTTTCATTAGAGTACTATAAAGGATAAAGCCAGTTCAACCCCCACCCCGCCCCCAATGCCAAACTGCGGCAACGGTGCCAATGAGATTATTTTCAATCGGATATTCTGATTGTACGTTGAATTTTAGTGAAATTCAACTACTCACGTGTTTGTTGTTTTTTTTTCACTTTTGCCGCATTTGCGGCTTTTGTGGTTAGCGCATGTGACTTTTCAAAGTCAAAAAAGTCCATGTAAATGAAAAACCAATATCACCACTTGATAAGAAATGAAAAATTATATTAAATCGATATGTCGGAGCACTATATTTTTGCATTTTCTAAAAGTTGCACGAAAAGTAGCCGTTTTGGCGCGGCCGCTGGCGGTGGTCTGGTTGGTCCTACAGATTTGGTTGTTACATGTTAAATGTATAAAATTTTGTGGACTACAATTTTGTATAGAATAGTTTTTCTTTTAAAACGTACCGTTTTTGAGTTATAGGCGAAAATGTAAAAATGCCGCAAATAATTTGCGGTTATTTGCGGCTGCCGCAGTTAGCTCACCTCTGGCGTGTTAGCAAAGTGAAAATTCGGGTTCAGCGGTTCAAAATACATATAAAACCGTTGAGAAAAAAACTTCGGGAATTTTTTCCTGGAAACGTCAGTTCTGGAACCCCCGTTATTGTACTAGTAACCCTAAACAAAGATTTACCGTTAAAAAAGCTGCGGCCACAGAACATTTGCGTCATTTGAGAATTAGCCAAGGTTCGTTTTCTATTTTTCCTGAGTCATTGTCGCTTTGAGAAGGGTGGTAACGGGTGTAATTTTGTATCAATATCGTCACCTGCAAAAGGAACGTTTTATATGTAAAATTAAAGGTTTGAATCTTTAAGAAAAATCATCGTAAATTATAGTTGACTGAAGTAAAGAAAAATTTTCATTTGTATATTCTTAAAGGAATCAACCTATGGACAATTGAAGCTGTGTTGTAACGTATGAATCTTACCATATAAAATTCACTAGAATTGGATTTGATAGATGAAAAAGTTCTGTTTCGATTTCATTAAAGAAAACTCCCAATTTAGTGAGTGTAAATTTATGAGTATATTTTAGGTGAACTGTTGTAATTAGACTCGATATTAAGTTTAGGTTTACTGTAAGAATCGTATATCAAAAACAAGGTTTTCGTTAACAGTCATTCATGATCATCCAAATACAACAGTATGTAATAAGGTAATTTGGTGAACGTTTTCGCGAGACATAATTTTTATAACCTTAAATGCGCCTTCCATACTGTAAAAGTAATGCGCTACTTGTAACAATTACGTGGAAAACCTCAAGTTGATCATGAACCCTTCAAAAAAACGACGCTACAAAAGAAAAGCAAACAGGAAAGTAACAATAACTTCCACTTTTACGACGTAATAATTTTGAGCGAAATTTCAGGCTATTTCTCTTGAAGCTTTCTACTTATCTTAAAAACCTCTGTAAATATTGGACGTTTTTAGCGGAACAAAAACACATTTACACCCAAATAAAGAAATTAACAACACGGCAAAGAGGCGGTTTTGCGCCATTGTCGGTTTTTAATTTGCGGTCGTCCGATTTTATCGAGACGCGCGCGCGCGCGCTTTTGAAATTCTGTAACATTATCGCTTAAGGGCGAAGTAAGAAAGGGAGGAAAAAAGTAATCATGTCATAACGGTTACTTTTTTTGTTTAGTTACGGCACGTACATTAAGTCTGTCGCGTTATAGTAGTTGAACAAAATATTCCCCGAGTTTTTGTACGGCAGAAGTGCTCGACAAATTAACTTTCTAAAAGCTGTGTATATCAACTTGAAGGATTTTACGAGAATAAACGTCTGCACAAGTGCTATTACCACTAATTTACATCTAATAAATCTTTTTAATCTCGCAGCTGAATGTGCACTCATTATTTTTTTTCGGCAAACGGTTAGACGTAATTTTCTTTAATCTACGGTGGCGTTACTGAATAGAGAATATTGAATCCGTTTGCCAAGTTTGCAAATTTTCAGTTTGAAATATACACAACAAAAAGTTCTTTCCAATTTCGATGTTTACACTGTTTAAGCGAATCCTTATATTTTCATTACCTTAGAGCTAACGACTAACAAAACGCACAGTTGTAAAGATAATTAAAAATAGGAACTTTTTGAAAAATTCCATTTTTTCCTTTTTTGGGCCGTTTGGACATCGGACAGACGAATTTAGGGGGTTAATTAGTAGTCCAAACAATACAGAAAAACATCAATAGATGCTTTTTACCTTTAAAAGCTTGACGGGGTGGATTCCTAATCACTTTTGAGCGCGTATAAGATTCTTTAACGGATTTAAGAATAGTGCTAACATTTTAAACGATTTTTTAACGTAAACCCAGTAAAGAACTGTTACGATTCTTCGAAATTTATTTAACTTCTATCGCGGATGGATCATCTGTGATTTTCTGCCATTATTGACAAAGTTTTTCTCTAAATAAAACAAGAAAGTAAGCTAAAATGATCCAAGAAACTGAAATTGTGGAAGCAACGAAGGGAAAAGGGTTGCGAAATGATGAAATTATAGTTTAAGGATTTAGTTTCGTAACAATCAGTTGCGTATCGCTGGGCCCGAAACGTAATTTGGGATTTGACTTACCTGACGATATCGGCCTCATAGGGCAGGTCATAATATTCTCGCATCGCTGCCCATCAATGTTGAACTCCTCATTTTCAATATAAAGTTTGATGAAAGGTAGCCTCGTGTTTAGATAGTATCGACAATGAAGGTTTCTAGGATAAACCCCAGGATAAGCCGGAGATTGAACGTAGCAGGTTTGCAGACGACAATCTCTAAATATTCGCTCACAATAGGATCTGGAAAAGAAAGAAAACGAAAAAATATATATCGCGTATTGTTGTGAGATCTCATTTTTTTTAACAATGTCGTCGCAGGAATACCCAATTATTATTAAATTATTGCCGGGAGTGCTCGTCATGCTTTTCAATTGCAAGTACGTGCTTGAGGCGCCGACCGATTCAATTTAAAAAATTCATTACAAGCACGCTGAACATTTCAGTAATGATTTATTTTAATAGTGAAAATTAATTGGTTTATGCTTTCCTTTCTACCGTTTAGTCGGACGAGATTTGCTTCCCGTAGAGTGAAAAACAATTTGCTGTTAGGAATTTTCATTTTCAATCGCGGGAATGTCATTAAACGGGATGGTTTTTGTGTGCGGTTTTCATGTAATTTTATTAGTAGTTGATTGGATTCTGTCAATATTGAGGTATTCATAAAATTATGTTTGATGAACTTTAGTTTTTTTGCAAAAAAATATACGTTTTTGACAAATTTGATACGTATATGTAGGTACATATTTTTATAATTCCGAATATGATCAGTTATCCGGATCAAAATTTGTTGAAGATAATTAATATACGTGAATTCGGATCAAGTAACTGAATGTAATTTTCTAATGTCAGATATAATAAAAGTCATTGTTCATATAATTTTCAATAATCTTATAATTTAATAACGATAATAACTGTGTAATAAGTGCTAATCATTTCCTGAATCCTGCAATAATCCAGGAGGTTATGGGCCCAGACCAGGAAGTTGTGGAAATAAATTAGTTACATCATAATAACTGGACGAACATACGTGGGAAACATTTTTTAATTTGAAGAAAAAATGACATCGTATGGACCAGCAAAAATTGAACCACTGACACACGAAAATTATCGTTCATGGTGTCAAAGGAAGGCGATTTTGAATCTGAATGACTTATGGGAATTCACATTAGGAGAAAATGTGAAACCAGAATTACAAATCGAAGAAAATGGAAATTCAACAGCAGCATCAACAATTGCAAGAAAAGTCTGGTTGAGAAAGGATGAGCATGCACAATCCTTGATGACTCTTGCAATGACCGGTGAGCAAATTGAATTAACCAATGATTGTCAGACATCAAAAGAAATGTGGGCAAACTGCAGAAAATTCATGTGACGCAAGGACCACTTAGAAAATCAATGATGATCAGAAAATTAGCGGTAACGAGACTAGAAGACGGAGAGGATGTTAGAAAACCTTTAAATGAGATGTTTACAACGTGGCAGAAACTCAAAGAACTGTCACTGGAAATTAGTAAGGAATTATTTTCCTATCTCGTTTTACTAAGCCTTCCGCCAAGTTTTGAGGTATTTTGCACCACAATGGAGTCTCAAGACACATTACCGGACCCCGAAGAACTGAGAATCAAAATCATTGAATGTCGAGATTCAAGGAAGCACCATGCAGAAACAGGAATACAAAATGCCATGGTCGCAAAGAAGAATTTCGATAAAAAGTCATCGGAGGAAATTGAAAGGGAAAAGAAATTTCCGTATAAATGCAACCGCTGGAGAAAGAAAGGACACATGGCCAAATTTTGTAACCGAAAAGGAAAGCAAGACAATTCCGCTAAAGCAAACAACGTGGAAGCTACAACAATGTACTCTGAAGTAGTAACAGAAGCTTTTGGAGGATTACTCAATTATGGGAAAAACAATTGGTGTGTTGATAGCGGATGTACGTCACATTTATGCAGAGATGAGGAAAGTTTCACAAAACTGCAGAATACAAATGGAGGGAAACTAAAACTCGCCAGCAATTCATCGACAGAGATCAGAGGAAAAGGAACAGTGGAAATTAAGTCGAATTTTGCCGGAAAAGTCAAGGAAATAAAAATTTAAGATACGTTCTACGTTCCAGATTTGAGAATGAATCTCCTATCTGTGGGAAAAATAACAGACAAGGGGATGATAGTCACTTTTAATGATAAAACCGTAGATATCGTCGACAAGAAAACTGGGAACGAATTGTACATAATTCAAGAAGAAACGAATGAATGCAATTCTGTATCAGAAGTGACGACGAAAGAATCGAGACTAAATAAAATTGAGATATGGCACCGAAGATTGGGTCACGTAAACTTTAAAGATCTTCAAGAAGGTTCAAGAAAGGGTACTATTAGAGGTATTAACATCGATGCAGCCAGGGATGGTCTCGAATGCGAAATCTGTATTCAAGGAAAAATGACAAGAACTCCACGAACGAGAAAAGAAATCAGAAGAATTACTAGAAATAATTCATTCAGATGTCTGGAGATCAGCCAGAATAGAATCAAATGGAAAAGCAAAATATTTTGTAATATTTATCGACGAGTATTCTGGATGGTGTGTGGTAAAACTTTTAAAGAATAAAAGTGACGTTTTCAACGCGTTTAAAGATTACAAAGTACTGGTTGAAAATCAGACAGGAAAGAAAATTAAATATTTACAATCCGATAATGGAAAAGAATACGTAAATAAAGTCTTTGATGAATATCTGAGAACAAATGGAATTAATAGACGATTAACCGTCACACTCACACCACAACAAAATGGGATCGCCGAAAGAAGAAATCGTACACTGGTAGAAATGGCGCGATGTATGTTGATACAATCTAGATTACCTCAATCGTTCTGGGGCGAAGCAATCAACACAGCCAGCTACTCTAGAAATCGATGTCCATTGAGAAGTTTGGGAGGAAAAACATCACACGAACTTTGGACTGGAAAAATACCGAACGTTAATTATTTTCGGGAATTTGGATGCACAGTATATACTCGAAACAGGGAACAAAATCCAGGAAAATTCGAGGCTCGATCTAAAGCGGGAATATTTGTCGGATATGCAGAAATATCCAAGGCGTACAGAGTGTGGATCCCAGAAGAGAGAAAAATTGACATCACACGAGATATCAAATTTATTAACGAATTCGAAAAGAAGACAAATTGTAAATTCGAAATTAAGAAAAGTAGACAAATAATGGAAATACCGATGAAATCACATGCAGTAGAAGTTCCAGATGTCGAAATTAATGAAGAAGAGAATTGGTTCGATGCGGAAGAAACTGATGAAGAATACAACCGAATTCCTAAAAATCTAATGATGCAGCAAGATGGAGACGTCAACAACGAGAATCCAAGAAATCAAGAAATAGCACATAGAGAAGGAAATGTTGGTAAAAACGACGAAAATTTCAGAAGAGAGAGAAATTTCAATCATCAGCAACCGAATTATCGAGCAGAAGACGATGTACCAGACGATGAAATAGAAGGACCTGAACCAGAGATAATAATGAAACGAGGCAGGGGAAGACCTCATCTTATACATACTGGACTCAGGGGAAGACCTCAAAAGCAATACAATATGATTAGAATCGTTGAAGAACCTATTGAATTTGCAAACATGGCAGAAATTCCTGTTCAATCAGCACTCAACGGAAAAGATTCGAACGAATGGATTGAAGCAATGGCATCGGAACTAAAATCCATTATCAAAAATGACACATGGGTTCTTGTAGATCGACCGAAAAACAAACGAATTATTGGAAGTCGTCTCATCCTCATCTTAAGAAACAAGTACCAGGCTGACGGAACACTGGATACGAGGAAGGCAAGAATCATCGTCAGAGGTTTTGGTCAACGTCCCGGCATAGATTACGACGAGACGTATGCACCAGTGGCAAGACAAAGTTCAATACGATTGATTACGTCTCTAGCGGCTCAACATCAAATGGAAATGAAACAATATGATGTTGCATCTGCATATCTAAATGGAGTATTAAAAGAAGAAACATATATGGAAACTCCGGAATACGTGGAGGACATGTTGCGAAAAATTATCACAACAGAGCCAAGTAACAACACAATCAGCAAAAAGACCAAAGAAATGCTAAAATCTTTCTTGGGAGGAAACAAAGTGTGCAGAATGCTAAAGGCACTTTATGGGTTTCATCAATCTGGAAGATCATGGTTTGAGAGATTTCAAAAAGATATGAAGAAATTCGGTCTCACACCATCAAATTATGATCCGTGTGTGTTCTATTTGGGACGAGGGGAAGAAATATTCCTATTAGCGGTATACGTTGATGATATCGTAATTATCTCAAAGGACAAGAAACGGATAAAGGAATTTGAAATTTATGTATCAAATTTATTTGAAATCATGAATCTCGGGAATGTAAAATATTGCCTAGGAATAGAATTCTCAAGAACTGACGATGGAATTATAATGTGTCAGAAAGGATATCTGAAGGATATACTCGAAAGATTCAAAATGGAAGATTGTAAACCAGTCTGTACGCCGATTGAATTGGGAACCAGATTACAAAAACCTACAAGCAAGGAAGAACTAGAAGGTTCAGAACATCTTCCATACAGAGAACTCGTGGGATCATTAATGTATTTAGCAGTTTCTACGAGACCTGATATAGCTCACGCAGTCAGTTATCTTAGTCAGTACAACTCCTGTTACACCAAGACACATTGGATAGCTGCAAAACGAGTACTCCGGTATCTAAAGGGTACGTCAAACATTGGTCTAAAATATCAGAAGACAGCAGAATCGTTAAAAGGTTACGTGGATGCGCATTACGCAAATTGTGTCGACAATAGAAGATCGTATACTGGATACGCATTCATTTTAGGAGGAAGTCCAATTTCATGGGAATCGAGAAAACAGAGCACCCCAGCTTTATCGTCTACTGAAGCAGAATACATAGATTTAACCGAAGCTGCAAAGGAATCTGTTTACTTACATCGATTTCTTACAGAACTCGGATTTGAGCAAAAAGCGAAAGGAATATTGTTCTGTGAAAACAATGGGGCAATAAAGTTGTCGAAAAACCCAGTTTTTCACAACAGAACTAAACATATTGATGTGAAACATCACTTTATACGAGAAATTATTCAAAGTGAGGAGGGTCCAAAAATCGAATATATTTCTACGAAGGAAATGGCTGCAGATATAATGACAAAGGGATTACCGAAGCCAAAGCATCAAAAATGTTTAGAAATATTAGGTATTTCTAATATGAAATAGTCTATAAAGAATAATTCACATATCAAGGGGAAGTGTTGAAGATAATTTGTTAAAATGATTGATACGTGAATTCTGATCAAGTAACAATGTAATTTTCTAATGTCAGATATAATAAAAGTCATTGTTCATATAATTTTCAATAAACTTATAATTTAATAACGATAATAACTGTGTAATAAGACAGTGCTAATCATTTCCTGAATCCTGCAATAATCCAAGAAAATTTAAACATCAATTCCTATTACGGCCATTCCATTCCAAAGCTGCAACAACTTCAACATATCGCCATTTTTTTTAAATAGAACCCCCCTGTATTCGAATGCATTTTTGAATTCTACGCGTAATTGTACATCTTTTTTATTATATGGTTAATTTCCGAAAAACTAGTAGTTTTAAAAATAATTCGATTCGTAAGAAAAATTGGGCATTTGCAAGCGTCATTATATTGTCAAAATTATTACTTAAATTTTGATTCCATGTTTTATATCTCTTATCCTGGGTTAAGTAAAAGTATATTTTTCTGTCATCTTTCAGCTCTTCCAAAAACCTTCAACTTTTGATAATAATGGCCTATCCGATCTCTGAGATTTTTCAAAATATCTTGGTTTTCAAATAAATTAGCATCTTTCCGGTTCTTGATTGCTCAGTTTAGTTCTTGATCCCATAGAAACAAGTGTAAGTAACTAAAAAAGTAATGTAGAGGTAACAGGAATGATTTTTGTCTCTTTCGGCACCTAAAGAATGATCTAAGTGGTAGCCATGGTAGATAAGAGCGAGGATGCAACAATAACTGTTTTTTCTGCAATATATTTTCTATCTATTACCCTAACAAGTAATTTGTTAACCTGCAGTTAAGGAACATTTTAATAAAAAGCTTAAAAACAAATAAACTGCTACTATTATGTTGCTACTAACAAAAGGGTTATTTTAAATCCAAGAGTTAATTTCAGTGCAAAGGTAGAACAAAGTAAGGATAGATGCATTGTGTAGCTTTAACGAAGCACTTGACTTGATTGAGTTAATAAACTACTCTTGTTACTGGAAACCTGGGTGGCGATTTCCCGAGCGCATAGACCGAGGGTAAGTTGATACATTGCCATTTCTTACACTGCCTATCACTGAATAAGAGCTTGAAAGATAGGAGAGATATAAAACCATTACTCTCATTTCTATCGATCTACATTGTTTATATATTTGAAATTGCTATCATTTGTATTTGTCTTTGCGCTTTTGTCTGAATATAAAACATCGATTCACGCTAAGCAATTGTTTGAAAAGTTGTATTCATCGATCAACGTATTTTCGGGATAAATAAGAACAATGATTCCATAACTAAATTGAATTTCAAGCGATAATGCTCACGTAAAGCGAATCTATTATGTTCGTACTCTTATTACTTTTGTTACCCCCCTCACTCTTCTTTGCGATAGCATTTGCAAGTTCGCATGCTCAAATTAAATTGTGAACTTGTCAGTTTTGGGTGGACGTGGGCCCACTAAAATTTTAAGTAGATATAAAATTACTTACCCCTGAACAACTTCGCCACGCCTATTCGGATAAAGTTCGGGATGCTGTCCATATCGTAAATAAACGACAAGTTGCTGTTCGGCTCGAGTGTCAAAGCTAAAATAAGTTTGATCGGTGAAATTGTCGACATGAAAGACGACTTTGACGAAGGAAGTTTCGGACATAAACGTTTGAGGCTGCTCGGTCTCCCCGCAAAACATCCCCGGCTCCTTTCTGTTCGAGACGTCAGTTTTCGCATTTCCGTCAACGATCTGAAAACGCACAAAGAAGACACGTGTCAACGAATTCGTTCAATTACGTTCTAGTTTTCTAAATATACACAACAATATAGCGACGCCCGCGGATTTAACAAATGGAACAAAGCGAAATTCGTAAAACGGATTTAGAAGACGGACGAAGCGGAATCCTGGCATTTATATAGAAATGTTAACGTTAATTGCCAGGGATCCACTGACAGCGGTCTAAAGGTATCAAAATTGCGGTCAACCGACGGTCGAGCCAAATCTCTTCTGAAGGAAGATAAATTCTATTATTGTATCGAATTTGGGTTTTACTCTTGTTATCCTTTATAGAACATTCTCTAAATTAGTCATTTGTCTCCCATTACACTTATGAATATTGCATTAAAACCCGGATAGATACAATGTAGATCACAAAGAAACATCTCGTAGGGCCTGGAACGTTTCCAAACCCGTAGATTCCGCATCGTTCGATGGTACTTTATGGGGAAATAAAAGGAATTGTCATCCAATAAATGCATTTCACCGCGATTGCATGCATGCGCTCCAATTACGTTTAAGAAAATAACCTCGCTTTTGCTGCCGCCTCGTACATCGTTATCATTCAAATTTCGCCTGTGGTTTGTGGCATAGCCATTCCATACGGATTCATCCCGCACGGTCGAAGAAAAATAAAGAAATAACGGAAAAACTTTTTCCTTTCCTTAATGATACTTCAAACATAATGTAAAGCATTTCATTAAATAACTTATATTCTGTTTGCTCTTCAAGGCATCTCCAAGTACTGTAAGTGGACTCGACGATAAGAAAAATAATGAACGTTAAATCGATTCCGAATATAAAATACAGAATTTAGACCTTTTTTTTATTATTTAAAGAGTTTGCTTTACTTGGAGAAGTTTTTGATTCCGAAATCAGCATCCGCCAACTTTAAATGAGTGTAAATGTAATTCTATAAATTTGAGATTAATCCCGAATCTCTCACTGATCGGTTATATTACCCAAGTTTTAGACTGGGTAATTTCTTGTGCTAATACCGTGTGAGAAATAAAACGTATCTTTGCATCATTTCATTTCTATGGGGCAGTATATTTCTACGGGTAACGAAAATGGGGGCGGTGTTAAGTCGTAGATAACAGCAGACATCTCCGATCTTAATTGGTTTCTCGCTAAGTAAAAGCAAGCTAGCTAATTAAAACAGCTGAATTTTTCCGCGGGTGAAATCCCGGGGGTTGAAAGTGGTGTTTTGCAAATTGTGGCAAAACTATTAATTTTAGACGAAAATGGTCAATGTAAAAGTTATAGAGATTACAAAAATGAGCCACTTTTGTATCTGCACTATTTTCACATAACCTCAAATTTTCCTAGAAAAACCGGAAAAACTGTTTTTTTTCGTTTTTATTCTTATTTTTGCGAAAAAAAGTCGTAGGGGTTTGAAATTTGTAGGAAACAGCTTGGTTTACGATTAAAAAAAAAGATAATTTTTTGGGTCCGTAAAGTTGAACCGTTTCCAAGAACTCACGATTTCTGAAAAAAACCGCCTCTTTTTCAAGGGGATGAAAAATCTATTTTTTTCATCGTCCAGAGGTGCGCGGGGTAGCAAAATTTTCGTAAGGACTTACATTTTAATAATCAAAAATAAAAAATACCAAAATATCAAATTTGTAAACTTGGGGGGCAGTTGGCCCCCCCGAATTTGATTCCTTCGTAATTTTGAAACCGGCAGCGCGCAAACAAAATGCAATTGTGCGCAAACGTGGGCAAACGAAGCGCAATCGATTTCAATCACGAAAATTATTGCTTTCTAAAGTTGGGGGGCCAAGTTCATCCCGGTATTTGCGGGATCCCGAACAATTTTTAATAAATTGCCAAATAAGCAATTTTGGGCGGTTAAGTTCTGTATTTAAATAAATGGCTTATTACCTACCACAACGTTCAATAGAAAAGCACCTTCAGCCAAACTTAAATCTCAAAAAAACCTTACCTGTAAAGCAAAACAAGTGCCACAAAAATCATAATAAATTTCTAACGAAAAAAAGTTAACGATTATTTTGAAAATAACTTCTTCATTTTCATTAATAAACTAAACAGAGTCAACAAATTCCTCAATCCCGCAAATCCCGAGGGATCCCGCTCCATTTGTGTACGAGATTAATCCCGCAAAAATGCTGCGGGATCCCGGTACTTATATACCCGATCCCGCTATCCCGGTATTGCATTCCCTAGATTCTACGCACCCAAATTAATAAGAAAAAGTGATTTCCCGAGAAATATTGGTGTAGTCGATTTTTGGTAAAAAAGGAAGGTTATATACTGCCTATTTGTGAGCCCCGAAAAAAAATTGTCTCGGATCGACCCGGAAAAAAATTCTCCTGTAGAATGTGGCCTGTAGAATCCATAATTTCAAACAGTTCGAAGATTGGGCTACTAGTTCAAAAGTTACAGCCCTTTGAATTTGTTTTCGAAATTGGTTTCTAGTCTATAACTTTTGATTGAGAAGTCTGATCGAAAAAGTACGAATTGTTTTGGATTCTACGCACCAAAATTAATAAGAAAAAGTGTTTTTCCGAGAAATTTTGGTGCAGTCGATTTTTGGTAAAAAAGGAAGGTTGTACACTGCCTTTTTTTGAGACCCTCAAGGAAAATGTCTCAGATCGACTCGGAAAAAAATTTTTCTTATAGAATGTGGCCTGTAGAATCCATAATTTCAAACAGTTCCAAGATTGGGCTACTAGTTCAAAAGTTACAGCCCTTTGAATTTTCTTTCGAAATTGGTTTCTAGTTTATAACTTTTGATTGAGAAGTCTGATCGAAAAAGTACGAATTGTTTTGGATTCTACGCACCAAAATTAATAAGAACAAGTGTTTTCCCGAGAAATTTTGGTGTAGTCGATTTTTGGTAAAAAAAGGAAGGTTATACACTGCCTTTTTTTGGGGCCCGAAAAAAAAATTCTCTCAGATCGATCCGGAAAAAAATTTTCTTATAGAATGTGGCCTGTAGAATCCATAATTTCAAACAGTTCCAAGATTGGGCTACTAGTTCAAAAGTTACAGCTCTTTGAATTTTTTTTCGAAATTGGTTTCTAGTCCATAACTTTTGATTGAGAAGTCTGATCGAAAAAGTACGAATTGATTTGGATTCTACCTCGGATATAATGACTCAGCTGCTTCCGAGCATGTCTCGGATCCATCTTACGATTGGCCCATCAATGCCAAAGCTTTCAGCAGCGTCACCAATTGAATCAACGTGGTGTTGTAAAACGCACCATCGATATCTAGAAACACCCCCAGCGCTACCTCCTTCTCCAGCCTGCACACGAGGCTGTGTAGAGTCGTGTCCATGGACATACCAGCCCTGTTGCATGTTGAAATGGATGTAGTGGTCTAAGCGCCAGTACCCACCAGCTTCTCCAACGGAAAAAAAATTTTCTTATAGAATGTGGCCTGTAGAATCCATAATTTCAAACAGTTCCAAGATTGGGCTACTAGTTCAAAGGTTACAGGGTGGAGTCAACACTGATTTGCCACACAAAAATGCGCTGAAACCCCTTCGATCTCACACGAGTACTTTTTTACCATGTTAAATTACCCAAGTAATTTTTAAAGTTTTATTTTCGGAAAGTAAAGTTTCATTTTCATTGCGCTCCTAATTTTTCGGGCCTCTTCAGATTAAGTGATTCTTGTCAGGCTGGATAGATGTTATGTTTAAAATAGAGATCTTGATCTAATTTCTGAGACCCGTCGACAACAAAGTGTTTTTTTTCTGTGAAGCGAAATAAGTTTGTAGGGTATTAGGTTACGGAAGGAATTGCGTAATATTAAATTGTTCAAGATTGAAACGTAATCCCTTGTGTGAATTAATCAATTCCTGCGGGAAAAATGAAGAGTTTTGCACGATGACACCCCAAATTATTCCTCGCAGAATCAATTTTAGTTCCGCTGAAGGAACAGTTTATGCTAAACCAAATTTAAAATGGAACTGAAATATAGCGTTGTAAACCACATTTTCTTTAATTACGGTGTAATAACAGTCGAGGAAATACAGTTTCTCATTAGTTAGTTTCCGGAATAACGTATAGCCGTTTAATGTAAATTGCATCGGAAGTATATGTAACAGCGAAACAAGGATGCGCCTGTGCTTGTACTAATTAGTCGGTAATTAAAAATGAGCAACACTCCCAAGTCATGCTAACCGGCACGCTTTCGTGCAAAGCCAAGTTTTGAATAGGCGCGACGTTACAATAAAAAACAACGGCAGAACTGTAAAGGCGGAAAACCTAAAAAAGTTATGTCACATCTACTAAAAGTAATCATCCGACACGATAAGAAATCTGAAGAATCGTCAACAGAAAGGCGAACGTTTTTGCGAGAGGTTTCATATCTTTGGATATTTTTCCATTTCGCTTCGAGCTACTAAATACACAGATATTCTAGAAAGAAGATTAAAGAGGACACTTTTATCGAATACTCAATGTTTTTACGTCCCTTTTGTTAAAATGCTCGCGGTGTATACCACCTTGTCGTGCTAAATAACTTGGTAAATATTTGAATGGATTTTTCCGCGACCAAAAATTAATTACGAGATTTTCCGCTGAAAAATCGCAACTGGATTACGTAACCGAAGTTTCTTAATAAATATTAAGCCGACGTTATTAAACAAAGAATCGTAGTGGATATTGCAAACTAACTTGGCTTACACAGCACATTGCAGATATAATGAATTTCTAATCTCAGTTTTACGACGAAAAACCTAAAATTTAATGCGGCAATTTTAGCTCTAACAAACATTAATTTTCATATTTAAAATTCTACGGGTTCGTATCTACGGTTATGATCCATAAACTACCCAATAAAGAGAAAGAAATCTAATTTCACTACGTATACGATTCTTTTTCCAGTTTTGGCGCGTTAAAATTAATGAAAAACGCTTTTTTTCGGTTTTTATCAAACGGGCGTAAATCACAGGTGGTAGTGATGTAATCAAACTAATGCAACCCCTGCCGGAGAAAGG